GAACTAGAAGAGGAAGAGATTAGAAGCAAGGCTAAAAGGCAAAAGAGGATCACATGAACTTAGGGAAGCTGGTGAAAAGGCAAGAGGGAAAGGTGGAAGGAAGAAATAAAAATAAGAACAGCAACAAGAAAACCAGGAATCATGTTCACCCTAGATCAAAAAAAAACAAACCAAGGGGGGGAAAAACCCCCAAAAAAGGTCTACTTCAAGGCATGTCTTTGCTGTCACTGGTAGAGGGAGCAGACAGAGTCCAGATCCAAATTAATTAATCCCAGCAAACCTATAGTAGTTTTACATTGGGGCAGTGGCTAATCCCGGTGAGCTGTGCCTCCAGTTCTACTAATTGAGGCTGGTTTCTGGCTGTGAGGCTGGAAGCAGATTTGCTTGCAGCAATCTTGTGTGCTTCCTCCTGGTTTGAAGTTGGCTCCTTGGCCCAGCCACTGGGATCCACTAGATGGAGCTGGGCTGTGGCTGCTTTGAGCGCTGAGCTCAGCTGGCCCCTGTCCAAGATGGTTGCTGGCCGGTTGCCTTCTCCTGGAGAACACCTGAATCCAAGTAATTCACCAGCCACATCAGTGCATTGTGTCCACCGCTCTGTTCGCTGGTGTGTTTGTTTCTCCGTGGAGGCCTCTGACGCTGCCAGCAGTCACCATTGATCTGCAGGTTCAGGCTGCCCCTCCTGCACAGTGAGAAGGCACTGCTGACCGCCTCCACCTTGGTTGGAGTCTCCCAGTGGGCGTCAAGCCTCACTTCAGATCCTTCCTAGGTCCCAGGACCATTTCCCGCCTTTCTTCCTCATGTTGCTATATTGCAGTGTCTAGATACAAGAATCTCAGAAGTCTCTTTTTCTGCTGTTCACCACTCCACAATCGTCTCAGAGGTCTCACCAAATTGTGTTTTTATTAAGCATTTCAACATAATTTGCACATGTAAGTACCTGGTTCCTTCTTTCATCCCCTTTTCATTTTTCCACTAAAATAAACCCTAATTTTTGTTCAAGCTATATTTTTAATGAAAATCATCATAACTGAGCATGTTTATGTGTTAATTTGTTTATCTAACAATAAAATTTAAATGTCTACTGCAATACATACCAAGTAATAAAGATACCATTTCTCTTTCTGCTACCAGCCATAAAGTAGCCAAAGTCTCTGCCCCTCAAAGCTTACATTCAAGAAGGGAAAATATAAAGGCACATATATGTGACATAAATGAAACACTATATTAGCTCAGGGCAAACTTCATAAATGGGAAGGAGCTTAATGAAGTTTCATTTAACTTTCAATCTGCAAAAATTGAAGAATTCCACCCCAGTAGGTGGTTAAAGTTGAGGTAAAGGTGGTGGATGGGAAGAGATGGTGGCCTCCAGTCCTGAAGGAGAAAGAGCAGAGAGCTTGGGAAAGCCAGTCTACTATGACCTGAGACTCAGGAGAATCTCAGGAAGTGGAGCTCAAAGAGCAGGCCAAGGGTGGCAGCCTTCCAAAGAGCTATCCTTTTTTCTGGTGGGTTTTTGCAAGGGTTATGCATATGAATATATGTGTTTATTTTAATTATAAGGGGAATAGGATCAGAGTTATGTGATCAGAGGTCCTCTACATACCAAATGGAGGAGGTATCAGAGCACGACAAAGAAGCCTGGCCAACAGACCAAAAGCCATTGTTTAATCAAGTTATGGAGGTTCGGTCTAAAGTGGTAGAAATTGACATAGAAGAAAAACGGTGATTCTTCAGAGGTGTACAACCAATTTAGGAGGAATAAGGAGAGGCAGAGATGGCTCTTTCTGGCTAAAGTAACCAGATGTTGGTGGTACTGTGCAGTGAATCAGGAGGTGGGCACTCTTAGTTGTCTATCACTATCTAATAAACTACTACAAAGTTAGTGGCTGAAAGCACCCTGAATAGCTTGCAGCCCAGAAGTCCTGTGGGCTTCTGGGGAGTCTCCTGCTTCAGTTCTTGCAAAGCCAGAAACAAGGTGTTGGTGGTGCTAGCCCCTTGCTTGGAACTTCTTGGGACAAAGCCACTTCCAGGTGATTCACTTGGAATTGGGACCTTCATGGTGCAGGGCTGAGTTTCATTTTTGTGAGCCATTTTGTTGGCTAGGGGGAAGGCACTGTCAGGTCCTTTCCACACTTGCTCTCCATCTTTAGATAAGCATCAGCATGCCAGATCTACTTGTGTTTTGTGTTCCTAACTACAGGCTGACAGAAGCTCTCTGCTTGTAAAGTGCTTGTAGAGAATTGGATTAGGCCCACCAGGTAATCTCCCTTCTGCCATTTGGTGTAGCATGGTTATGAGGTCACACTAGCAGATGGTCATGCAGGGAGTATTTTAAAATTCAGCCAGTGGCAGCAGGTTTCACCTCACATTAAAGCAAGACAGATTTGAAGTAGAGTGTAGGTATATGTGTGAAAATGTATGTTGGAGTTGTTATAGAGCTGCAGAAGGAATGAGATTACTTAGGGAGAAGAGCATATGGAGTACTCAGAGGGCTTCAGCCGGAGTCTGAGGGAGCCTTGTAAGTGAATACTGGATGGTGGAAGGCACTGGGAGAGGGAAGGAACACCCCAGCTAGGAAGGCAAGACGAAAACTAGATGTGGGCTCTTATGAAAACCAAAGGAGAATGTCCTTGTGTTTTTAAATTTATTTATTTATTTATTTGGTACAGGGTCTCACTATACAACTCAGCCTCGTAGTGATTCTGCTGTCTTAGCCTCCCTAGCACTGGGATTATAGGTATGTCCCAGCCTACCTGGTTTCTGGGCCGGCATGCACATGGCATGTGGTACAGGGGATCAAACTTGGGTGCTTATGCTTGCCAGGCAGGTGAGCTATCTCGCAGCCCCAAGAATGTTCTTGGTTTTGATTGGTTGTTTTTTGTGGTACTGGGGTTTGGGTCCAGGCCCTCGTACAAGCTAGGCAAAGACTACCACTGCCCATATCTTGAACCTGAGGAGAGTTTTGAAGAATCAAAAGTAGCCAATGATAGTACCTACTGTTGTGTTTGGGGAGCGAGAGACCTAGTTGGCACCCTTACTCTGTTTCTGGCCCCATTCAGTACTCTTCAGCTCTAGAGAAGAGCACGCATATTCATACAGACCTAGGTGTTTTATAGCCACAGTATTGTCTAAGTCGTAGCTTTCCATTCCCAAGGAAAGAAGATAAGGACAGTAAAAATGAGCAGTGACATCATCCTTAGTAATTCCTTCTTAGGGTACTGTGGTGAGCACAGCTAGGGTCTCTATAGAGTTGCTCCTTACTCCAGGACAGACTAGACATACCAATTCTGAAAATCTGAAATTGAGTACGCTCTGACACCTGAAACTCACACCAGGCATAGCGGTACGTGCCTATAACCCCAGCATGGGAGGCTGAGGCAAGAAGATTGCCATGAGTTTGAGGCCAGCCAGGGATACAAAGTGAGTCCAAGGCCAATTTGAATTGCATAGTGAAACCCTATCTCAAAAAGCACCCCCCCCCCCCGAAAAAAAAATCTGACACTTCTGAGCAGTGCTCAAAAACTTCAGGTTTTGGATGAATTTTTTATTAGGGATGCTCAACCAGTGAATTCTATGCAGATATTCTAAAGCCCAGAAACATCCAGAATCTAATATTGCTGCCAGGGTGGAGCAGTATTGGATATTAAACCTAGGGCCTTTGCACTGAGCTGCATCCCAGCCCTTTTATTTTGAGACAATCTCATTAAGTTACCTCTGCTGGACTGGAATCTGTCTTTTAGCCTCAGCTTCCTAGAGTGCTGGGGTTACAGGCATACACCACTGTGCTCCATACTCATGCTAAATGTGAACTAGACATCATTCTAAGTGCTTTACCTTTATTAACCTATTAACAGCAGCTGTATTTCAGAAAAAGTAGCAGAGTAGTTGAGGTTGAAGTGCACTATTTTGTATCCAAGTTAGAGACTAGTTTTAGAATAGTTCAATTTTGTGTTGCTACAGTGTATTCTGTAAAAAACTGATAATTTTTTTCTGATCGTAATTATAATGAACTAGATTTAGATAAAGGCTAAATGTCTTTTTCCAAAGGAAAAAAAAATTAATGTTTTTCAAAAATAAAGATGGGGGCTGGTGAGATGGCTCAGTGGTCTAAAGCACCTACTTAGAACAAGCTCAGCAAAGCGCAGGGACTGCGGTTCAATCCCCCAGCACCACATGCCAGCCAGCCCTGCCCCCTGGTGGGCTGAGCTGGCCACACACACACACACACACACACATAAATAAATAAAATAAAAAAAATAAATAAAGATGGAGGGCCAGCCAAATAGCTCAGCGGATTAAAGCACTTGCAAGCAGGCTCAGGGGCCGAGGGTTCGATCCCCAGGCCTGCCATGCTGGCCCTGCCCCTGAGGCATGCTGAGATGGCAATTGAGACTGGGCGTGGTTGTGTGCACCTGTAATCCCAGCTCTTGGGAGGCTATTAAAAAAAACAGAATCACTACAAGTCTGATCTAGTAGTGAGAGACCCTGAACACCCTGTAGACCCTTCCCAAATAAATAAATAAATAAATAAATAAATATAAAGCTGGGTGGTGGGATGCTTGTTGCATAAAAGTGAATGAATGTTTGTGTGGTGGAATAACGAGACCTGTAACACAAAGCACCCTGCTGATCCATATAGATTCAGAAATAAGATTTCACTTTTGGCCTCACAGCAAACCCACTTTCTGACAACGCTTTAACCTTGAAGTTTGCAACTTTTTTTTTGGACTTCTTCATATTATTTTGTTGAGTTTTTACTTCATTATTTGATCTCAGTTTACTGTAGCCATTGTAGACTATGCACTGTTCACCTTTAAGGAATTCTGTTTGTGTCCCACAGTTGGGCATCCCTCGAGTCTATGTTCAGACGCCCTGGAGAGTTGAAGAATAATGCGAGCAGATCACTCTCTGGTTAATGTGATGATGACTTGTGTTTGCATAGTGTTCTTTGCTACTTCTGCAAATAAACCCCGATATTAAAATTTGTTTTGTTGCTTTTGCAGGCGAGGAATTGCCTTGGCCTCCTTGGGAGGCCCAATATATGCCATCGGAGGGCTGGACGACAACACTTGCTTCAATGACGTGGAGAGATACGATATCGAATCCAACCAGTGGAGTGTGGTGGCCCCGATGAACACTCCCCGCGGAGGCGTCGGCTCCGTGGCGCTCATGGTGAGTGGTGAGCAGCCTTCCCATGTCTGTTGAGGTGCTGCTCATCTCCCTAGATGCGTCTGCCTGCATGCTGCGTTATTCCTGAGACACTGCTGCTCTGCTGGCCAGGCGGACCAGCAGCACCATGTGTGCAGCAATTCAAATTCTAACGTTACACATTTTTTTCTTCATTCAGAGCCATGTTTATGCAGTAGGTGGCAATGATGGAGTGGCTTCTTTGTCCAGTGTGGAGAGGTATGATCCACATCTGGACAAGTGGATAGAAGTGAAAGAAATGGGTCAACGACGAGCAGGCAATGGAGTCAGTGAGCTTCACGGCTGCTTATATGTTGTTGGTGAGTGGATGATGCTTAGTTTAATATGTCGGATACAATACTAACAAGTATAAAACAGCACACCACCAAAGATTATATAGTAATTATTACATTTAACCTTCAGTGGAATAAGTCCTAAGGTACTTTTTTTTTTTGTCAGTACGTGGGAGTGAGCCAAGGCAGCATCACCAAAACTTTTTTTTTTTTTTTTTTTTTT